AAATTGCACCGGATTATAAGGGGCATTAAGTGAAACAAACGGACGACACTTGAGACTGATCCCTGAGCCCAGGCGTTCACGATTCATTGGTAGATCGTGGCGTAATTCTCCCGGAGTTGCCTCCTTGTCTTGGTGAATGTTTATTATGAATGTGAATGTGGGTGGACAATTTAAGTTTGGATTTTTATTTCCTACGAGAACGACCCAAATATACATTGAGGAATACTTTGGGGGGCAGGAGTGCTACTTGGATATATAAAAATGTGAAACTTTTCTCGGGGAGGGTCCGTTCCGTCGCCTGCTCGTCTCAAGATGGAGCTGTTATTGCTTTGCTTAAAATGTTCCCTAGTGCGGCATTAAAAGCGCTGCACTGCAAAAACTAAAACCTAGCCATGTTCAGATGACTTGAAATGAGGAAAGTTTTATCATGATTTGAGTAAATTTCACTTGACAAGTAAAATTATCTGCGAATGGTAACAAGACTTTTTGTACTTAAAATATGAAAATATATCTTGCTAAACTTGAGTAATACTACTACTTGGATATACAAAAAATGTACAGATGGGTCCTTTTGGTGTTCTTCAGTGTAGGGACCAGTCTCAAATACAAGTAGAAAAAACTGAGGCACTGAAAAAGAACAAAATATTTAAAATCCTTAATACCACATGGCAGATAAAGTTAAAATCACGCCAACGCATTTCAGCCTTCATCAGGACAAACACTTATTTTGTACTTTTTGAGTGCCTCAGTTTTTTCTACTTTATACATTGAGTAATAATGTGTTTAATGCAGATATGTGCAGATTTGTTTACGTTTTACAGAAACAAAACATAAAACCACATGGCTCATTTGCATAAACTATAAGCGCTGAAAAAAACAGCTCTTTCCTTGTGCACTGATGCGGTTCAGCTTCTGTTGGACTAAAGGACACGACTCAGTGGAATATGTGACAGAGGATGTGCTGATGATGGTGAGTCTGTTCTGTAAAAAAGGTTTTTGTAGCTCTGGATGTTTTCTTTTCTATGGGAGTCGCTCCAAATGGCTCTTTGAGTATTTAAATTTGCCGACCCACAAAAGGCAGGTATAAATCGTAGCTTCCTAGAGTTGTGGCGGTGAATTACTTCGCATAGACTTCAGGCCCATAAATCAAAAACGACGGTGACAAGGCGACAGCAGCAATGTCAGTTGAGTCGAAGCAGAACTACAATTCACCCGTGAGGCTCCTGACTAGCTGTAAGTTCAGAGACAGTTAGAGGACAACAGAGGCCTCAGCTTCACAAAGACTCCAGCCATTTGTCGGACAATCCATCAAGCGGTGTGGCTTCGTAGCTTGCCAAAGTCAAAGCCAAATTTTGACACATTTTTGAGCGCCGTTTACCACATAAAATCGGTTCGAGGTCAGTAAGCACAACCAGAATTACATAAGGTGCACCGAATGTTAAGGCACACTGTCGATTTTTGAGAAAATTTAAGGATTTTAATTGCGCCTTATAGTCCAAAAAATAAGGTAAATTAGTCATGAGTTATGTTACATGTTACTATTGGCCAGGCGCCTGATTTTACTTAACTGGAAAAGCAAAAAAAAAAAAAAAAACCTCACCCATCAAAATCTTCAGAGAAACATAATGCAACATTTACAATTGGAAAAAAAATAATTTTCACTGAGAAACAAACAAGAACTTTTTTACACAACATGGCAACCTTTTATTGACCATTTTAATCGTAGGTAAATATTGAGACAGCCCTATAATGTAAGTGTATGTGTATTTATACATAGGTTGTTCTTGTATATTTGTATTGTATGTACATGTATATATTTTTTTGTTTTGTTTTGTTTTTTATAAATTTTTTCTAATTTTATATATATCTTAATTTCTAAATTCTCTGTCTCTGAATAGTTAAAATGTTAAAACTGTGAAATATGTTGTTGGAGACAATGTTATGTATATTTTGTATAGCTTAAAATTATAATAAACAGAGTTAAAAAAAAAATAAATAAATAAAAAATAAGGTAAATTAAAGTTTTCAGTTGACAAATTGAGTTTCTCTTCGCTGTGGAGCTTTACGTACTTTACTCCAATATGCCTCGTTTCGTAATACATCTCCTTTAACTTTCGCTGAACCCGCGTTTTATACCTCTCTGTCATTACTTGAGTACACATGTTTTGAAGTGCACATTACGGCCGTGATTGACAGCCGGTGGAGCGGAGGACTTGGCCGGCGTTCCTCCTGCAGAAGGCGGAGTCGTACTACGCCGAGGTGAAAGTTGACGGGAGTCCAGAGGTTATGTAACCATCTGCCGAGCGTGGAGCGGAGCCACGAGAAGCAGATGTGGCTCCGGCTCACAACCAGACTATTGTTTCCTGCTACTGACCTCATTAACGGGGGCTCGCTCAGTCCGGCGAGGATCCTAACACAAATACTGGAACTTTACCACACGTATTTAGAGTGATTTTTTATAGTGTTGTGAAACTGCACTCTGCGCTCAATAAAACACGGCATTATTTTAGTTTGGCGGTGAAACTTTTCTCCGGGAGGGTCCGTTCCGTCGCCTGCTCGTCTCAAGAAGGAGCTGTTATCGCTTGGCTTAAAAATGTTCCCTGGTGCGGCATTAAAAGCGCTGCATTGCAAAAATTTTAATCTAGCCATGTTCAGATGATTTGAAATGAGAAAGTTTTATTAAAGTTAAATTATCTGCCAATGGAACAAGACTTTTTGTACTTAAAACACATCTTGCTGCACTTGAAATAAGAAACAAAATGTAATGTTGCTTATTTCCTTGGTAGATACTTTGACTCGTCACATTGAATCGACTCAAATAAAGTAAAATGTTCTTAATTTACGTCATTTTAATTTAGCTAGATATTGTTTTTTACAATGTGCACCCAATTTTTCCCACATATTTGAGCCAGTATAGATACAGAATATTGTGTAAGAAAATATGTCTGCTGCTGTTATCGGCATCTAACGATAAACTATTTTGTTATCTGATCATCAAGAATTGCTCGTTAACATGCCAGTTGCTTGTTTGTTTTATCGTCACAGTATCGAGGTATTAAGTAATTATAATTTAAAATTGGGGTGGTCAATATCTCAAAATTTAAAATATATCAAGATATTTTTTTAACACAAAATTGATTCTGACATATTGTATATATTGATAAGATTCTTATATTTAATTCTGATTTAGCTGCTTCCTTTGTTTTTTTCAGAGCTTATAGTTTATGCAAATGAGTCATGTGGTTTTAAGTTTTGTTGGCGTAAAATGTAAACAAATGTGTCAAAGCTGCATTAAACTCATAATAATCTCAAACGGGCTGATGTGGCTCTAGAGTCGTTATAGTTTATATGTTGTAAAGTTTATTTATGCAGAAGATTTTAATTAATAATCTTCTGCAGTCTAGAAATTGTACAATAGTGTTTGGAAACATTGGGTTTGCTCTGCAGTGGATTGTGGGAAACCTCAGAGCTCCTCACCACTGGTTAGGAACATGGATCTATTATAGTCATTTTTTTTGGGAGTTATTTTTCTTGTACAGGTATCGCGATATATATATATATCGTATATCGAGACATAGCAAAATATATCAAGATATTTTTTAGCTCCATATCACCCAGCCCTATAATTTAAAAGCAAGTAAAAATTGGAGGAAATGTGGAACTGCTTAAAACGAATAAGTTGTGTTTGCATTTTTAAGACAGATAAGAATTTGGTTCAGAATCTTTAAACTTATCTACTAAAAGGAAAGGTTTGAATCTGTCCCACTTAAAGAAACTTTTGAGACAGAGGGTCAGCCATCTGCTTGTCTCCATGAAGATGTTATTCCTTTCCATAAACTGTTCCAACAGAGATGTTCCTGTCAAATATTAGATCAGATTTGTGATATACTGGATCCATAAAAAGCAGGATTGTGTTTACAGTTCTGCACTGCAGCTCCAGTCGCATTTACACTGAAGTATGAATTATGTAAACTCATACAAGAGTGTCGTATATTTCAGAACATGTGTGTAGAGGTCTTAACTACTAGATGTCTGTACATGGACATTCTAATCCAGACATGTCAACCACAGGTCCAGGGGCCAAATTTTGCCGGCAATTTTTCCCACATATTTGAGCCAGTATAGATACAGAATATTGTGTAAGAAAATATGTCTGCTGCTGTTATCGGCATCTAATGATAAACTATTTTGTTATCTGATCATCAAGAATTGCTCGTTAACATGCCAGTTGCTTGTTTGTTTTATTGTCACAGTACCGAGGTATTAAGTAATTCTAATTAAAAATTGGGGTGGTCAATATCTCAAAATTTAAAATATATCAAGATATATAAATATGTCAACCACAGGTCCAGGGGCCAAATTTTGCCGGCAATATAATTACATTTGGCTCGTAAGATCATATCAAATACATGTATTAGAGCTGCCCGCCGGTTGCCGCGTCATTATGACAGATGCACCACTAATACTACGAATCCCAGAATGCTTTGCAAAAGCATTGGCGCCGGCCTGTCATTCCGCTAATAGCCTCCACCGCTCCTGTTGATACTCATTATCATCTGCTAAAGACACTGGATTCTCATTGAAGCAAGTTGTTGTTTTTGACTGGTTGTTGGCTTGTGAAAAAAACGAATACATTTAAATGGAGTTCAAAAGCTACAGAGAGACTATAGAGACATTATTTATTTAAAATTGTGCTATTATTTTATATTCTGCATGTTCTGGATTCAATGTTTAAGCAAAACTATTATTAAACATTTATTTAAATAAAAAAAAAAGGTTTAACAAGAGAAAATATACAGATGTTGTTCAAATTTTTCAATAAATATTTAGTTGTGGCCCATGACTTCGACCCAGTTTTTAATTTTGGCCTCTGTGAATTTGAGTTTGACAAACCTTCTCTAATCAGTAAGTTGCGATTTTGATTCAGTGTTGTGCAGTCCTACTTTCTGAGCAATGAAAACAAGTGTAATTCGAATAAATGCTTCGGATGTGTTGAATACCTTTCCAGCGTAGTGGATGATGCAGAAGTCAGCTTTATCCTTGAGCTGCCGGGGCTTCTGGAACTTGGAGTGCGTGCCCTGCTCCTGGAGAACTTTGTCCACAAACGTCTTGTCTGTGGCCTTGGGGAACCAGCACTCCTCATCCAGCAGAGCCAGGATCCCGGGGGGGTTATTCTGAGGAGGAAGAGAGAGGAGATCACTCAAACTATTACGAGTTGTCATGGATTAAATGGATCTCTGTCTCCACGTTTGCAGCAAGATATAGAATTGGCCTCGGTGTTTGTTGACTAATAAACGATTATTAAAAAAGGAAGTGAGTTGGCAGGGTGTTGTGTTACAGCTGGCGGTGCTGTGAGGGAGGTGGCACAGACTGGCAGCTATTCTTCTGTTAATCTTCCCCATGGCAGCCGTAGCTACTGGAGTTTAGATTCTTGGCTCCCACTGCAATCCAGCTCAGTAAGCACAGCCACTCAGGTTACTTAACATAACTCTGGTTCTATGAGTGCACAGGTCCCGGTCAGTTCGGGGTCAGACGTGCAGGAAGGCACCGTCTGGTTTTGGGCCCTGGCCCGGAGGTTGGGGACCACCGGTGTAGAACAAAAGTCTTTTGGCTTTTTATATTTGAGAATGTGGTTCTCAATACAAAAACTTGGAAACTCCCGAAATTATGAAATATTAGTGAAGTGCAAATGACACAAAACATGTGAACACTGACAGAACTCAAGATGAACTCAGTGCAGGGCCGCAAGTCTAATACTACTACTAGTAGTAGTAGTATTAGTAGTAGTTGTAGTAGTAGGAGTAGGAGTAGTAGTAGTAGGAGTAGTAGGAGTAGCAGTAGTAGTTGTTGTAGTAGCAGTAGTAGCAGTAGTAGTAGTAGTAGTAGTAATCGTAGTAATAGAAGTTGTTGTTGTAGTAGCAGTGGCAGTAGCAGTAGTAGCAGTAGTAGTAGTAGTAGTAGTAGTAGTAGTAGTAGTAGTAGTAGTAGTAGTAGTAGTAGTAGTAGTAGTAGTAGTAGTAGTAGTAGTAGTTGTTGCAGTAGCAGTAGCAGTAGTAGTAGTAGCAGTAGTAGTAGTAGTAGTTGTTGTTGCAGTAGTAGCAGTAGCAGTAGTAGTTGTAGCAGCAGTAGTAGTAGTAGTAGTTGTTGTAGTAGTAGCAGTAGTAGTAGTAGTTGTTGCAGTAGCAGTACTAGTAGTAGTAGTAATAGTCGTCGTCGTCGTAGTAGTAGTAGCAGTAGTAGTAGTAGTAGTAGCAGTAGTAGTAGTAGTAGTAGTTGGTGTTGCAGTAGTAGTAGTAGTTGTTGCAGTAGCAGTAGTAGTAGTAGTAGTTGTTGTTGCAGTAGCAGTAGTAGTAGTAGTAGTTGTTGTTGCAGTAGCAGTAGTAGTAGTAGTAGTTGTTGTTAATAGTAGTAGTAGTATTAGTAGTAGTAGCAGTATTAGTAGTAGTAGCAGTAGTACTGACAGGTCTGCCGATGAACTCAATACACGGCTGCAGGTCCAGTAGTAGCAGTAGTAATAGTAGTAGTACTAGTAAGTAATAGTAGTTGTTGTTGTTGTTGTAGCAATAGTAGTAGTAGTAGTAATAGTAGTAATAGTCGTAGTAGTAGTAGTAGTAGCAGCAGTATTAGTAGTAATAGCTTAGTATTTCTCTCGATGAGCTCGATACACGGCTGCAGGTCCAGCAGTAGTAGTAGTAATAGTTGTTGTAGTACTAGTTGTATTAGTACTAGCAGTATTAGTAGTAGTAGTAGTAGCAGTAGTAGTAGTAGTAGCAGTAGTAGTAGTAGCAGTAGTACTGACAGGTCTCTCGATGAGCTCGATACACGGCTGCAGGTCCAGCAGTAGTAGTAGTAACAGTTGTTGTAGTACTAGTTGTATTAGTACTAGCAGTATTAGTAGTGGTAATAGTTGTTGTTGTAGTAGTAGCAGTAGTAGTAGTAGCAGTAGTAGTAGTAGCAGTAGTAGTAGTAGCAGTAGTACTGACAGGTCTCTCGATGAGTTCGATACACGGCTGCAGGTCCAGCAGTAGTAGTAGTAATAGTTGTTGTAGTACTAGTTGTATTAGTACTAGCAGTATTAGTAGTAGTAGTAGCAGTAGTAGTAGTAGCAGTAGTACTGACAGGTCTCTCGATGAGTTCGATACACGGCTGCAGGTCCAGGCCGAAGTCGATGAAGCTCCAGTCGATGCCCTCCCTCTGATACTCCTCCTGCTCCAGCACAAACATGGTGTGGTTGAAGAGCTGCTGGAGTTTCTCGTTGGTGTAGTTGATGCACAGCTGCTCGAAGGAGTTCAGCTGGAGACAGAGAAAAAAACACACACGGTCACAAGTTCAGAGGTTTATTTTTAAAGCGGGGGTACAAGATTCTCAAACCATGGAAGGAGGAACGAGGTTTTTAAATCCAGCTCTCACAAAAACCCTTGGAACTTCACTTGTATTCACATAAAAAATGTTTTCTTTTGCTCTTTAGATGAAGAAGACAGTGTGCAGTTGCCAGATTTTTGTCACAAACTTTTGCTTTCACAATACACTTTATTGGGGAAAACACCCTTTTTATGAGGAATATTGAGTAATTCATCTTTAAATTACGTTAGAGGTGATTAGAGATGACCCATATGGGGCAGATCCTGATACCAATATTTTATTATTCTCCCACATTTTATTAAAAAATTACTACTAATTTAAATATTGTCTATACTTTTTACTCCTCTGCATAGTTTAAGTATAACAAGGCCTGGTCAATCTCTATTGTACATATACAAATCTTTATATTTGAGCTTCATTTGACATGTTTTTCTAGGTTCTTTAGCTACATTTTGGTAGTCTGATTCATCAGTCGGTTTCACTTTGTGGAAACCGTCTGACCAAGCAGCATTAGGATTCATTCGCTCGACTGTAGGTGGGTACTTTTTTTCCTTAAACAATCGCTGCTGTTTGGTCGTGACGTATGTAATGCACCAAATCCTGTAGGAAGAAGGACAATAACGTCTTTCCGATTGATAAAATTCACCAAACATTCTCTTTCTTCCAGCTTTAAATCCTCGATCTCCGTAATCGTTGCCAACACAGAAGGTCTGTCTTCGTCTACATCCATCTCGACGCTTTGTTGATTTACTTCTAAGCCGTGGAGACACTAACGGTCTTGTCTGTACACATTATAACATGCATGTTTTTACATTGTTTAGTTTTTCTATATTCTTTTAATACTATGAACCAGATATTACGTGCTCTTAATAAAGACTGAATTGAATTTACTGTTGTGCTGCACCAAAAAAGGGACCCAGACAGACGCTTGAGTTTGACGTCAAGGCTTCACAGCTCACAGCTGATTGGCTGGTGCGCAGACTAAAAACTTCCGGGGTTCTTGTAAACCACAGGTGTCAAACATAAGGCCCTCCAAGACCTTTAATGTGGCCCTTGGGTGATTTTCTACTAAAATATTTTAATTATATTTTCTATTAAAATATTGGTAATTTTCTGCGGTGCTGAGCATAGCAATGTCTCCAGCGTCTCTGTACGTGGCCCCTCCCACCAGAGCAGCACAAATGAAGACTTGTCTCTTTCCAAACGCTCTTAAAGGACGATCGTTTTGACTGTTGACCGTGACACCCTCATCAGAAAAATGTCCAAAATGAGAAAAGTGGACACTGAAAGAAACATTGACTTATTCCTGTTTGCATACAAGTTATTGTTAAAACATTGTATTGAAATTGAATTTTTATTCAAGTTTCTGGTTGTTCATAATATTATAATATTATAATAAGAAAGAGTTCATCAATTAAAAAAGATTTCTGTAATAGATTTCTCTGCACAAATATTTGAAGTTATTGTTATTTTTGGGGTTTATATGTCATGAGTTTTCTGATCCGGCCCCTTTGGGATCAAAGTAGGTTGGATACGACCCCCGGACCAAAATGAGTTTGACACCCCTGTTGTAAAACGTCTAGTGTATTCTGATTCCTGACCTAGTCGCTGGAGAGAAATGAAATTGAGCGGAGGCACTAGGTGGCGCCAGACAGTCTAACAGTTTGAAGCACCTGTGAGTATATAAAACTTTAAATTATTGTCATATTTCAAATTATTAAGACTAAATCATATCAGCAATAAAGATCATTTCTTCATGTTACTTCACTGCATTCAAATCTGTAACACTAACAAAACATTACGGATTCCGGCCCAGCAGATTAAAATATGACTTTCATTTAGACTCACAAAATCAATATTGTTAGACTCTAATACTCTGCATACTTTCTCCACCTCTTTCAGTACATTCCTAAAGAGATGAAGCCGCACCGTTTGGGATAAAAAGCCAAATTAAACAACAACACAGAACATGGCCAATAGTAGAGAAAAATACCAAAAGAATTCTGCATTCTTGTGGCTTCGGTTCCCTTTTGAACATGTTTTTGGTCACTTTGGGTTAGCTGTTTCACATTTCCAAACTTATAATAATGTTTACATCTGGAAAACGCGCTTTATAAACTTCACCTCCGTTTCCAGTGAGGTGTTGGAGCTCCCTCTGCTGTCAACAACGGGAATTAACAATGACAAAATAAACTAATTGAAGTTCTTGTCCAATTTTAATGAGTCCGGTGATGGTTTATGGGATTAAAAACTGTTCAGAAAATGTTTGGATTTTTACTGCTGATGTCAATGTCAACACAAAACTGATACAGAATGCAGAGCTGGGCCATTTCTGAAGAGGGCACAAAGAATTTTTTGCGCTGAATAACTTTGATTGTTTTTACTTGTTAATAAAACGTACTTTTTTTTTTTTGATCCTATGGAGAAGTCCGCTTGCTTTTTGGCTTAAATCTTGCACGCTGCACACTACCGCAAAACGATCTCGTACAAGCCGGCAAGATGTCCAGGATGCCGATGAAGGAGGCGCCCTGGCGTTTGGTGCGATCCAGAGCTTTGTTAATGCGATGGACCAGCCAGCGGAACAAGCGCTCGTATGTGGCCTTAGCCAGGGCCTCCACCGCGAAGTCAGCCTGAAGGGAGAACAACAAAGTCAGGAAGTGTACACAATCTGACCATAAAAAAATGATTTAGCTGGAACTATGTTACATTCAGGCGCGCTTATTTAAACCTTCAGTTATTTTTGTTTCCCTTTCATAATAAGGTTTGTAATTTGTATTTTTTGCTTAACTATTTTTTTATGGTTGAGGGTAGCCTTTTGTTTTAACCAGGTGGGACCGACTGTAATGTTTTCGCTTTTTCTTTGGGTTCAGGTTCAGTTTTTTTTTTTTTTTTTTTTAGGTTAAGTTATAACTTTCTTCAGTTGTTGGTGCTTCTACAGACCTGTATTGCGTTGGCCCGGTGTCGCACCTTTTCGTTCTGTTTGGCCGGCTCATCAGGTTCACCTTCCAGTTACTGTTATTACTTTCTTTTTATTATTTTTGGGCACGGGAGGGTTTTTAAATTTCTTCAAAACAGTTAAAAAGAAGAACAAACGAGAAGACAAGATCAAAATAAAAGAAATTAAAAGTTAACACTTGACTCCTGTGTCCTTGTCCCAGGTCGAAATGGTTTTGTATCTTCTCTTGAGTTTATAGACAATCTTAAAACTTTTTTGACAGTGTTTGCTAATGTGTGCATTGTGTAACTCCTAAACATTCCACCATAGACATACATGTGGAACACTCCCAACATCATGTCACTGCAAAGTATCAATAGAGGAAGGAAAATATATATTAATAATGCTTTGTGATTTTCTATATTAAACACTATTAAAGTAGACTGACCAGACATCCCTATTTACCCGGGACAGTCCCAGTTTTGAGTCCTGTGTCCCCCGTCCCAGCAGATTTAAACAAAACCACTGACTTGTCCCAGTTTTATACAAGAAATGTCCCAGGTGTCCATATTTTTGAGCAATTTGAAACCTGACAACAATAAAGAGGAGTATATATTGTCATTTGTTTCGGTAAAATATAGAACAGCTGCTTAAAAATGTGACTATACTGACTCATATGTTCATCATGAATGGTCTCTGCATAACAATTTTCCTTAATTGCGCACTTTTCACAATTTTATTATTACCAACCACCAAAAAAATTTGCCTGTTTCACTTTTGGAAACCGTCTGAACTCACAGCATTAGGATTCGTTCGCTCGACGGTAGGCGGGTACTTTTTTTATTTAACCAATCGCTGCTATTTGGTCGTGACATATGTAATGCGCCAAATCCCGTAGGAAGAAGGACAATAACGTCTTTCCCCTTGATAAAATTCACCAAACATTCTCTTTGTTACGGTTTTAAATCCTCGATCTCGGGAATCGTCGCCAACACAGAAAGTCTGTCTTCGTCTACATCCATCTCCATGCTTTGTTTAACGCTTTGTTTACTGTTGTGCTGTTCCACAAAATGGACTCAGACAGGTGCTTGAGTTTGACGTCATGGCTTCACAGCTCTTCATTGATTGGTCATTGCGTGATCTACAACGTCTGGGGTTCTTGCAAACCGTCTAGTGTATTTTGATTCCTGACCTAGTGGCTGGAGAGAAATGAAATTGAGAGGAGGCACAAGCTAATGTCCCAGTTTTTTATTTTGAAACTCTGGTCACCCTAGATTAAAAGTGAACTATAAAACATTTTAGGAGGAGGGTGTGTCTTTGCGTTGTCTGGAAAGTTCACACTACGGCATTAAACGTATCTATCTCCATGATGAAAACTGGCAGGTGTTGTCATCAGGCCAAATTACAGAGCGGATTTTTGAAGAGATAAATACAAGTTTCCTTCTCACCTGCTCTTTGGTCTGTGCTTTCTGAACATAGTCCCGGCCCACTTTGATCCTGGGCGTGAGGATGGCTCTGGTGAACTCCATCACGTTCATCCCCAGCAAATGGCAAAGCTTCTGGGCCACTGACAAGACAAACACACGTACAAACCATTTCACTTTGGACAAAAAATAGACAAAAATAACATTAAACTGATTGCTGGCAAAGCGCTGATGTATTTTCAGCAGCAGCAGAGCGAGTATTTGATGTCTGTTTTGTTTTTGGTGCGCGTGGAGTGTGAGGTATGTGTGTCCAGAGCGATCGCCTCTGACGGAGCTGACGTTTTAATAAGACGCTGAATGATCAGAGACAAACACTGGCATCTGAAAGTGAAGCCAGTTCAAACAGGATCACATTTCTAATAAAGACCGAGACCAGGGGCCGTCACATATCACTCACTACAAATATTCTGCTTTGTCTGGAAAAAGAGTTTACTGTGCCCCATGGAAGACCTCGGCGAGATGTGGAGATAGTGTCAAAGCCCATTCCAAACTAAAAGATATTCATTGGAATTTCCATTAGCTGGATCATATTCATGCGTTTCTGTTTTGAATGATTTGACGTGGCGGTGACTCGCAATTTAAATCAAAATATGATATCTGAAGAAACTGGAGAAAAGGTCCTCACAAAGTCCTTTGAATAAGAAAGAAATCATTTGTCTGAAATCCTTGAATATAACCAGCAAGCCTCTCTGATAAATTAAAACAATGTGCGTCCAGACACGTCGTTTCTGTGTCCGCAAGTCTTCCCTATCCACACAACTTTGAGCATATGTGTTTACAGAAACGAAACTTAAAACCACATGGCTTATTTGCATAAACTAAACGCTCAAAAAAACAGCTCGATATTGTGCGCTGATGCGGTTCAGCTTCTGTCGCACTAAAGGACACGACTCAGTGGAATATGAGTGTTGTTTCTGTGACAGAGGGGTGTTCTGCTGATGGTGAGTCTCTTCTGTGTTTCTGTCGCGTTGGAGATGGTTCATGTTAAACTTTTTAGAGATTATACGTCTGCAGGTCGTACACACAGACCGTTTTTATGAATGGACATATATTCTAGCCCACTGGTGTCAAACATAAGGCCCGGGGGCTGGATCCGGCCCTCCAAGACCTTTAATCTGGCCCTCGGCTGATTTTCTACTAAAATATTTTAATTATATTTTCTATTAAAATCTTGTTAATTTTCTGTGGTGTTTATCACAGCAGCGTCTCCAGCGTCTCTGTACGTGGCCCCTCCCACCAGAGCAGCACAAATGAAGACTTGTCTCTTTCCAAACGCTCTTAAAGGACGATCGTTTTGACTGTTGACCGTGACACCCTCATCAGAAAAATGTCCAACATGAGAAAAGTGGAGCCGAGTGCAGGATTTTCCAAGAAAAAATAATTTATTCCTATTTACAGATAAGTTCATGTTAAAACATTGTGTTGAAATTGTATTTTTCTTAAAGTTTCAGGTTGTTCATAATATTATAATATTTTGTTAAAGAAAGAGTTCTCTGCACAAATATTTGAACTTATTGTTATTTTTGGGGTTTATATGACATGAGTTTTCTGATCCGGTTGGTTGGATACGGCCCCCGGACCAAAATGAGTTTGACACCCCTGGTCTAGCCTCTTAGTGTTTTGGCGGTGAATTACTTCGCGGCGCACAGACCTACATCAGCGTATCAGCGTTTTCGGGCGTCTACACAGGACCGGATCAGATTCGTACTGAGATGAATTCATGGGAGTTGGAGGCACCAGATCGTTCCGTCTCTGGAGCCGTTTTCAATCAGATTAGTGTGGACGAACACTGCATCCACAACGAAAGCAACTTGAATACAAACTAGCGTGGACGGGGCCTATGACACTGTATTTTCAATGTAAATGTTCTTCAGCCAAGCAAACATAATGATCTTTTACCATATATAATGCTGACTTATGTAGATATAGTTATGTTATGTTATAGTTATGTAGTTATTTTTTACTTATTATTTGTGCTTTTTCAAAAAAATTTACAATTGTATGTAAAAGAACAAATAATCTGTGGGGTTCTACAAAAAAAGTGAAAAATAAAATACCTTATACATTGAAGTAAGCTTTGTAAATAAACCATTTTGACTTCTGACTTTTGGCTTCTCAAATGTACCAGCTTTCAGACTCAAATAATAAGTTATTTTCTCCATCACATAAATTTGCTCCATTATATCTGTCCATTGTTGTAGTTTCAAAGGGTCATCCATGTAGATTTATTTTTATAGACCAGATTGTCTGTATTTCACTGTAGAAACGGCCTCATAAATCCACTTTTGTGTTATTTTGTGTGCGTGCTCTGGTGTGTACCTGTGTTTTCGGGCATGGAGGCCTGGTCTGTGTTCCTCTCTTTCTTAAACACGATGTTCCCAAACTGCAGCACGGCAGACACCACCTTCAGCATGCCTGTGGAGACATGAGAGTCCGTGAGCCCCACACGAGACACCACAAGAGGATCTATCACGTGTTTGATGTGAGCAGAACACTCACACACGATCTCCTCGTGGGTGAAGCCCATGATGTGCATGGCCTCCATGGTCTCCTGGAAGTTCTCCTTGTCCTGCTGACCCGGGATGGGCAGGTTCCCGTTGGACAGGAAGCGGTAGTTGTTAAAGCCCTCCAGCAGCAGATCAGCTGACAGCAAAAGACACATTCATCATCAAACACACACTGGGGACATTTACGCTGACAGAAACAATCAACATAACCAAAAATAAGATGATATGTGGTCGTGTTTACAGCACAAGAGAAATATGACCACAAAAACACCTGGGGACACGTGTCAGTGAATCTCAGAAACTCAGTGAAACTCAGTGTTTTTCTGAGTAATTGTTGTATTTAAACTAGAGAGTACAGTAAATTTTAAAACATTTTGTTCAGTCTCCTTCATTTTTTGATCTTGAGTAGCCTTTTAAAGAAATTGTACTTTTCAGATTACTTTTCTAGCAGCATACTTTTATTCCTACTCAAGTAATATTTTATTGAATTAACAGTACTCTTACTTAAGTAACAGTTTTAGTTCCTCTTCCCACTGTGAGTGAGTCTAAATCAGGGGTGTGCAAACTACGGCCCGGGGACCAAAGGCGGCCCTTTAATCTTTTTAATCTGGCCCGCCGAACTTGAATAAATTATAATAGTAAAAGTTGTAATGCTTTTATTACCAAAACACTCCATCCATCTGCTCCTAGTCCCGGCCCTTCCGTCAAATTTTAGAACCCTTTATGGCCCACGAGTCAAAAAGTTTGCCCACCCCTGGTCTAAAGTGAGACAAAAAAGTTAAGACAAAAGCTTTTTTGTCTTAAGTTATTTGTGCTGGCACCGGCTTTTACGGCCCTATATCACATTGGCCCAGTGTCGCACCTTTTCGTTCTGTTTGGCTCATCAGGTTCACCTTCCAGTTACTGTTATTACTTTTTTTTATTACTTTTGGGCACGGGAGGGTTTTAAATTTCTTCAAAACAGTTAAAAAGAAGAACAAACGAGAAAACAAGATCAAAATAAAAGTTATCCCTTGACTCCTGTGTCCTTTTAAATATGTTGCCCTTCAGATCGAAACAAACTACAACAGGTGAGCTGATTTTGCTTTCAATTTTGTTTCTTTTCTTGAGATTTCAGACAAACTTTTTTGACCATGTTTGCTAATGTGTGCATTGTGTAACTCCTAAACATTCCACCGTAGACATTCATGTAGAACACTCCCAGCATGATGTCACTGCAAAGTATCAATAGAGGAAGGAAAATATCTATTAAAAACGCTTTGTGATTTTCTGTAGTAAAAAAACTATTAAACTACTAAAGCAGGGTGACCAGGTGATCTGTATTTACCCAGGACAGTCCCAGTTTTGAGTTTGCCCCCAAAAAGTTTGCCCACCTCTGGTCTAAAGTGACAAAAGCTTCATGTGACGATATAAAATGATTTGAACATTTGTGTTTTTTTGCTCCGCTCCTTCAGATATGATTTAGTTTATCTCATTTTTGCGTCCGTCCTTTGCAGATCCCAGATTTCGTGCATTCATAATTTCTTATTTTGAACTTGAACTTCAAATTATAAATCAGATACTATGTCCCAAAACCTACTCTTTAAGGGACTCTAAATACTTTTTACTTCTTAATTTTACTTGAATTCAGTTTCTTGGACTATTACTTTGTACTTCTCCTTGTGTATTATTATTTTGGAGTAACGTTGCTGCTCAATCTGACGTGACTCTTTCGATTACGTCTTGATAAAGCGATTAGTCCAGAAATGAGAGAATGATCAGATTTCTGGAGAGTCTGTAAACCGCCTGTAAACCGAGTCAGTGTAAAAAGTACTCAAATGGCAGACACATGTTTCCATTACAGTACAAGTGGAAAATGTGTTTATTTGGTGCTGGGCCGAGAGCGTTATCTAACAATGTGCTAATAAAATCAATTGAGTGAATCTCTGCTTGTTTTGTTTCCGAGCGTCCTAATGATTCACCGTGACGGATTTTGCGAACGCTTCCCGATTCTCGGACGCAGACGATAAGATAAGATAAGATAAGATAATCCTTTATTGTCTCCCATGGGAGAAATTTGTCTTGGGACAGGGGGTAACATGTTTTATCAAAAAAAAAAAACAGGACAACACAACACAAAGCAGCACATAAACAAACACCATAAAACAAAGTAAATATGAGACCAGTATGACCACGAGTGATGCACCAACAGGACCCTTAAATTATCCTTAACAGGCAAACCCTTGCATTCTTCTGTTCTATTAATTATTGCACATTCCCTAAGCCTATGTGCAGTTTTGATTGCACATTCCCTAAGCCTATGTGCAGTTTTAGTTATAATTATTGCACATTCCCTTAGCCTATGTGTAGTTTTAATTGCACATTCCTTAAGCCTATGTGCAGTTTTAGTTATAATTATTGCACATTCCCTTAGCCTATGTGCAGATTTAATTATTGCTCATTCCTTAAGCCTATGTGCAGTTTTGATTGCACATTCCCTACACCTATGTGCAGTTTTGATTGCACATTCCCTAAGCCTATGTGCAGTTTTGATTGCACATTCCCTAAGCCTATGTGCAGTTTTGATTGCACATTCCCTAAGCCTATGTGCAGTTTTAGTTATAATTATTGCACATTCCCTTAGCCTATGTGCAGATTTAATTATTGCACATTCCTTAAGCCTATGTGTAGCTTTAATTGCACATTCCCTACACCTATGTGCAGTTTTGATTGCACAATCCCTAAGCCTTTTATAATTATTTTTTAACTGCACTAAATGCATCTGTGTTTAGCAGTTTAACAGCTAGTGGCACAAAAGAATGTTTGAATCTGTTCAGTTTACAGTTTGGGACCCTGAACCTTCTGCCTGATGGCATCAACTCAAACTGACTGTGAAGAACATGGGTTGGGTCATTGATCACCTTCCTCCTCAAAAATTTGCTGAAGTGAGCTTGGGGCCACACCCATTATTTTACCTGCTCTTTTAGTCAAGGTAAAAATCTGGTTTTTACGTTGACGCCGAGAGAGAGTTGCGTATTGATACTTCGCGGTCACATCGGTCAGTTTGCGCTGGGGGTGTTCTGCCTGTATGTCTATGACGGAGTGTTCAGCGGTTACCACGGTGACGGAACAAGAACAAAAACAAAAACAAGATCCGAAGTCTGAAAACTCAAGAAAAAAACGTGAAATGGATTTAAACAAAACACTTTCATGGTCCTGTTTCGGATTTTGACTTTCAACAAAAAAAAATAAAAAAAAAATGTGACTTTAATTTTATTTTACAAGGATTTGTTTAACAGCACAAATCATCTCATCTGTTCTGGTTCCAACTAAGCCTTTTTTTATGGTCACATTGGCCACGTTTACATGATGTTTTTTAATTTCGAATTAATTGTTCTGAATCTAATAGTTTGGAATTAAAATATCCTTCTTCGAGTTTACATGGAAATAATCATTCTGAATTGAGGTTTACACGGAAAACACGTTAAATCGCCTTTATTTAATTCCTCTCAGTGTCTGGGGGTGGGGAAGAGTTCTGATTGGACAGGGACACCGACATATTTAACACACACACTTCCGCTGCTACCGGCTTTTCTGTCATCTCGGTTTGTCGTTATGACGTCAAGACGAATCTTAACTTGGCTAGATTTCAGTTTCTGCAGTGCGTAGAGTTGGAGTGAGGAAAAAAATCAAGACAAAAGATCTACAAAAAGTGAATGGAATGTTAAAGGTACAGTAGGTAACTTTTTGGAGGTTGTGCATCACCTGTACGATTCCATGGAAATAAAAAGTTAAAAACCATACTCCAGAACATTCCCCATGGAGATAGGTAAGTATTATGACACACCGTGGAAGATTAGAGCCAAATGAACAACATTTCCACAGAAACAAGCAGGAATAGGCCATCCTCTGTGGCAAACAAGAGTCAGGTTTGTGGAGACGCAAGGCCGTTCAAAGTGACAACACTAGAACACTAAAAACTAGAAGTTTTCTTGTCCAATGAAAAACAAAAAAACATACTTTCTCCAAATGTGTGAAGAATCCCTCAGTCGTCCAGGTAGAATCCGAACTATTTCATTCAGAACAATTAATTTGGAGAAAGTATGAGGAGAAAATTCAGTTTGTCGACTGGACAAAAGTTTGGTTGAAGACGTTTCGCAGCTCATCCAAGCTGCTTCTTCAGTTCTGGTCAGGGTGTTGGGTCTAATTGTTCTGTTAATTAGACCCAACACCCTGTACAGGTCAATAGGCCGAACTAACAAACAGAAACTGTAAACAAGTAGGTGTGTTAGTTTCAGTTAGTTCGCTCCTCCCTGCAGATATAAGGAAGTGTCACCAGCGTCTGACCAGAACTGAAGAAGCAGCTTGGATGAGCTGCAAAACGTCCAGTCGACAAACTGAATTTTCTCCTCATACTTTCTCCAAATTAACTTTTCTAAATGAAATAGTTCGGAATTAAAATATTCTCATTTGACTTCATATGGAAAAAATTCTAAAAAACACCTTAAATCGTCTTTATTTAATTCCGCTCAACGTCTGGAGGTGGGGAAGGGTTCTGATTGGACAGAGACACGAACGTATTTACGTCGACCGGAAGAAAACACACACTTCAGCTGCTACCGGCTTTTTTGTCATCGCAGTTTGTCGTTACGCCACGGACACAAACACGATCCAAACTTTTTTCCGCAGTCGTTCTGATGATAAATGTGCAGCTGCTGGAGAATTCTCTCATCACGCGTTCACGTCTGTCGGCTGAGGGGGAGAAGGGAAGAGCGTCGGAGAAGGAGGAAGAAGACAAACTGAGTCGACGGCTGCTCTACCTCAGCCCACTCCCGCATCCCGCTCGCAAATCCAAAGATACGTGGATGAAAGTCCGAAGAGCGACCCAATGAGCATGCGCTGAACGACCGGAATTATTTTTAAAAAGAATAAACCTTTACATGATCGAGGAATAAATTAATTCGGCTTTAAAATCGAAATAAACCATCGACTTACTTCGGAAATAAGTTTAATTCCGAATCAATTTTTATTCAGCGTAAAATGATTTTTATTCGGAATTATAATGTAAACGTGGTATATGAGTTAAAACAAAGCTCAGATTAAAGTCAAACTTGAGTAACAGAGCTTCAGACAGAGCAGTGCCTACAGTTAGCGTCACAACCCCAAAGAACGTTGACGACATCAGCTGCAAAGTATCAATACAATAGATTTGTACTGGAGCAAGACAGATTTTGCACAAATACATGAAGAAAAATCAGGTTCCGCCGCTTTAAGAGTCTGTAAACCAAATATTTTAGAGATATTGACGTAAACATTTATATAAATACTAAAAGTTTTCAGTCTTCGTGTATGATCATGGTGTGTTCGTCTCACTTCGTAGATGTTCTCCAGCTCCGGCCAGCAGTCTGTAGAAGATGTGGAAGGTCCTCTCGTCTTTGGCCTGCCTGATGGCTCTGGACTTCTCCAAAAGGTCTGAACGAGAAGGTTAAGAAATAATGCAAGAGAGGAGCTAAAAATACATACTGTGGTTGTGTCTTTTGGCAAGATACTTCACCCACGTATCCATGTATAGACGTGTTATTGCGAAAATGCTTCAAAAGTATAATTTAAAAGTAGGATACAGGTTTCGATATTGGCCCCAACGATGTATCCAGCCACGTCGAAGTTAATCCTGATGAACTTCCCCTGCAGAACACAACAGAAAACCACAAGATTTTAAAGATGCACTGTGTAACTTTTCCAGTGGAGGGTCGATCAAACGCTTTTCTCCATGGAGATGTTGTATTAAACCTTTCTATCTTAATGGAAACTCACAGTCAGGATGTCTGTTTTTCTACATATTTTTGAGCTATAAAACCACCTGCGACTGAATAAATGTAAGACAGAGCTGTTTTAAGTCATATTGTGGAACATTTCCAGGCAGTGAAATGACATATCCATAGAAACAAGCAGGCGACAGACCCCCAACTAAAAAGTTACACAAGTCCGCTCAATTTCAGTTCTCTCCAGCGACTAGGTCAGGAATCAGAATACACTAGACAGTTTACAAGAAGCCTAGAAGTTGTAGACGGCAAACCGGCCAATCAGCGAAAGAGCAGTGAAGCCCTGACGTCAAACTCAAGCGTCTGGTCTGTCTGGTCCCTTTCGTGGAACAGCACAACCGTAAACAAAGCGTCGAGATGGATGTAGACGGAGACAAATTGTGGATGAACTCTGTGTGAGTGAAGCGGTGAAGCACATTGCAATCCAACCACTCTGTCACTCCGCAACTTTCTACGGACGTTGCTGCCTCTGCCCCACAAAACGCCAAAAACCTCGTCCTTCTCCTTCTCAATTAGCGAGGCCGGCGCCACCTAGTGCCTCCGCGCAATTTCATTTCTCTCCAGCGACTAGGTCAAGACTCAAAATACACTAGACGGTTCGCAAAAAAACCCCGAAGTGCGAGTTCAGGAACCCGCCAATCAGCGAAGAGTCGTACGTTCTGTGTTGGCAACGATTCCCGAGATCGAGGATTTAAAGCCGGAACAAAGAGAATGTTTGGTGAATTTTATCATGGGGAAAGACGTTATTGTTCTTCTTCCTACAGGATTTGGCGCATTACATACGTCACGGCCAAATAGCAGCGATTGGTTAAATAAAAAAAATACCCGCCTACTGTCGAGCGAATGAATCTTAATTCTGCAAAGTCAGACGAATCAGACTAGAAAATTATAGCCAAAGGAACAACATTTTCATGGAAACAAGCAGGAGGAGGCCATCTTCTGTGCCAAACTAGAGTCAGGTTTGTGGAGATGCAAGGCTGTTCAAAGTTTGACAAGTTTTTTGGTCCAATAAAAAAACAAAAAAACACACAATTTTATTTTTGTTAATTCTGGATAAAAAGTTACATTCTACACACTTATATACGCTTGTTTGAAAGACCACACTGCAAGTTTGTTTTATGTTTAATTTTTTTAACTCTTCATTTTTGTTTATTAATTTATTTTTTTTTACTTTATTATGGACTGAAGCAAGGATGTAGGACAAAATTCTAGGCCCTGGATACAAATCATCTTGGTGGGCCTGGATTAAATGTTCTACATCCAGTGTTGGGGAGTAACAGATTACATGTACTGGAGTTATGTAATCAGAGTACAAATGATGAGTAACTGTATTCAGTTACAGTTACTGTTTCAGTGAGTGGTAATTAGATTACAGTTACTTTGTTGAAATAAATGGATTACATGGCAGGATTTTCCTGTTTTCACATTTTGGGTTATATCCCTTTTTTTTTTTTTCTCAGTAATTCCACTCATTGCCGGACACTAAACCAGGTCTAAAACCAGGTCTAAACAAGGACTAAAAACAGGTCTAAACCAGGTCTAAAACCAGGTCTAAACCAGGTCTAAACCAAGACTAAAACCAGATCTAAACCAGGTCTAAAACCAGGACTAAACAAGGACTAAACCAGATCTAAACCAGGTCTAAAACCAGGTCTAAACCAGGTCTAAACCAAGACTAAAACCAGATCTAAACCAGGTCTAAAACCAGGTCTAAACCAGGTCTAAACCAAGACTAAAACCAGGTCTAAAACAAAGTCTAAACCAGGTCTAAACCAGGACTAAACCAAGACTAAACCAGGACTAAACCAGGACTAAACCAGAACTAAACCAGGACTAAACCAAGTCTAAACCAGGTCTAAAACCAAGTCTAAACCAGGTCTAAACCAGGACTAAACCAGGACTAAAACCAGGTCTAAACCAGGTCTAAACCAGGACTAAACCAGGACTAAACCAAGGACTAAACCAGGACTAAACCAGGACTAAACCAAGTCTAAAACCAGGTCTAAACCCAGGTCTAAACCAGGTCTAAACCAGGACTAAACCAGGACTAAACCAGGACTAAACCAGGACTAAACCAGACTAAACCAGAAAACTAAACCAGACTAAACCAGGACTAAACCAGGACTAAACCAGGACTAAACTAAACCAGAACTAAACCAGGTCTAAAACCAGGTCTAAACCAGGACTAAACGAAGACTAAACCAGGACTAAAACCAGGTCTAAACCAGGTCTAAACTATCTCTCAAACAGGATTTAACAGGTCTAAATCCTGCCGTGTGGACGTGTCTCCTCTTCTTCTATCAATAATATTTTTAATTTGGTTCAGTAAAATCTGGACTTTTTATTTTCTTTTATCAGAAAAAACATCTTATGTTACGATTTCCTCGTCTTTGTTTCTCTACAGCAAATCAAGTAATCCAAAGTATTCAGATTACATTACTCACTTTAAGTAATTTAATGGATTCTGTTACAAACTACATTTTGGTGTGTGTAATCTGTAATCTGTAGGGGAATACATTTTAAAAGTCACCTTCCCAACACTGTCTACATGTATGAAAATTGCATATTCTTAGTTTTGTAAAGGACCCCCCCCCCCCAGTCTGACGCCCCTGGACTGAATTTAAACTTCCAAAAACAACTCCAAAAATTACAGGCTTAACATTTTCACCTTTATAGTAACGCGCTCACTCCGTTTGAAATTTCTAAAGCATTAAATAAACCCCAAAACGTCGACCAAACCTATAAAGAGCTGAGGCCTGTAATTACGGTGATGTCATGTGAAAACCAGCCGACCTCCGTAGTGTCATTTCTGCGGCGAAAAGCGCTGAAACGCTCAAAAGAGTCTATATTAGGCCTCGTCAGGTTACGGCAGGAATGTGGGGCATGCGCGGACTTCCCGAACAGCTCCGACGGCGAGTTCGGCGCCGCAAGAATGTGAACTTATAAACTTTTAATTGCGCCAGGAAGCCATCACCTCACTGGAAGCAAATAAACACGGACGCTACGACGGTTTACGCGGGGAGGGAAGGGGAAGTCCAGCGCAGTCTCTACCTGGGGTTTTCAGGATTTGTTTTTCCTGAAGAGTTTATTATGCAAAGGGATTGGGAATTTGAAAGGAATTTTATCTGGGTTAGTTTCGCTTGCCGGCCAACTGAAAACACTACGGCGGTATTTTTGTTTCTCGGTTTTGACCCTGAGGCTGGTTTCAGGTTTTTCGCTTGGTTCAAAAATACCACAAACTTGATTTTTTAAGACCAGGATTAAAGCGTCTGAACCGTACTAAGACTGGGGAATCACACGAGGTCCCTCTTGATTCGATACGATACGCAATGTGCGGCTCACAATACGATATCATCACGATACTGCGATACGTCCGATACGATATATTGTACTCTGTGATATATTACTGTTCTTTTTTTTGTTAAACCACTTAAAATTAATCTCATTCATTGAATCATGAAAACAGTGAATATGTCAAGTGGATTACATAAAACAATTTTCCTTCCACTAAATAAGTAACAAAATTGTAGTGTGGTCACAAAAAAAAGCTAAAAGATAACGACAAATACTCTTGGCGATATATCGACACAGCAGTCCACGATAATGATACTGTATCGCCAAATTTATTATCACAATATAAATTTGGAGATATCACCTTCTTAGGACCAAAGAACAGTCCTGGACTTTTCCCCCACAAACAGGCCGATTAAATAATTAATTAACTAATAGTTTCAATAAATCAATAATGAAATAATTAAAGAAACACACAAAGATTAAGTCCTTCTGATTGTTTAACATCATCCATTCATCCATTTTCTTCCACTTATCCGGGGTCGGGTCGCGGGGGCAGCAGTCTTAGCAGAGACTCCCAGACTTTCTACACCCCAGACACTTCCTCCAGCTCCTCCAGGGGATCCTGAGGCCTTCCCAGGCCAGTCCAGAGACATAGTCCCTCCAGAGTGTCTTGGGTCTTCCTTCCAATGGGACATTCCCGGAACACCTCCTAAGGGAGGCACCCAGGAGGCATCCGGAACAGATGCCCGAGCCTCAGCTGCTCCTCTCAATGTGGAAGAGCAATGGCTCTACTCCGAGCTCCTCCTGTGTAACTGAGCTTCTCACCCTCATCTCTAAGGGAGCACCCTGCCACCTGGGTTCATGTCGACCTCTTGTATCCACGAGCTCAGTCATTCCCCAAAGCTCATGACCATAGGTGATGATAGGAACGAAGATTTTGTTTATTAACAAAAACTCCCAAATCACTTTCAAAGTGACTTGGCTTTTTTGTTTTTAACCTTTTCCCATCCACTTTTCTCCTTACGTTTTCTGTTCGACATCTTTGACACGTGTTGAAACTGACGATTAACCCACTCTTCTTTGTCGCCTTTCAGGCCTATGCAATTTATGCTCGACAAATGGGCAAATTTCTGTGTTAGCGCCCCCTGCTGTTAGTACGGCTGACGGCCAGTTGAGTTTTCCAGAACGTACAGTTTGCCAGTCCGCCCAGGTGATGGGTTTATAAGCACTTTTCACAACTTTCAGAGACCAGAGCTGCGTTTTCTGTGTGGGTATTTATAGATTTATATACATACTGGTTATATTATGCTTTCTAGATCCAAACAGCAACCAGGGGATTTATTTTAACCTCAAGAGCTGCTTATACCATATATCTGTACTGGGGCAAGACAATCTGGAAAATAATCGAGTACAGGGCCTTTAAGATAAGACAATCCAGGAGCCAAAAGTAAATCTAAACCTCTGTGGAAAGTAGTACTCCCCAGGCTCCACTCTGGACCCCTCGGTGTGGTTCTCTTTAAAAGACTGTGGAGACACTTGCGCTCAGTACTAATCCGCTCCAACTGAAACAAGGCTTTAAGGACTCAACACTGTTCTTCCTGCCAACACTGACATCTACCTGTGTTTGACAAGCTGGACACGAACGCCTCATTTCCTTGGATCACATCTACACGAAAAAAACACAGAATTCATTTGAGGAGAAAACCTACAAAGCGAGAGGAGTTGTCATTCTTCACCGTCTTGGCGTTTCCGAAGGACTCCAGGATGGGGTTCGCCTGCAGCAGCTGCCGCTCCAACTCCCCCTGAGCAAAGAGACCAGAGCAGAGCCAAGTCAGTGTCAAGACTGCAACAACAAGAACAGGAACAGGAACGTGAACAGGAACAGAAACGCTGCGGGGTGTTTGAAATCTGTGTAGCATTCGTTAGTTTTTCAAAATAAAAACCAAAAATAAGAAAGTGAAAAAACAACTATTTTCTTCATTCAAAACCAAAATGAAAAAACAGATAATGATTTGTTTTTTTCAGTTTTGTGTTTAAACGAAAAATGGAAAAAAAACGGATAACGACTGTTTCCAGTTTTCAGACTTAAATTGCGGTGCCGGACTTTTGCACTGCATTCGGACTGAACCAGGACTAAACCAGGACTAAAACAGGAATAAAACAGGACTAAAACAGGACTAAAACAGGAATAAAACAGGTCTAAACCAAGGCTAAAACAGGTCTAAATCCGGACTAAACCAGGACTAAAACAGGTCTAAACCAAGACTTAACCAGGTCTAAATCAGGACTAAAACAGGTCTAAACCAAGACTAAAACAGGTCTAAATCAGGACTAAAACAGGTCTAAATCAGGACTAAAACAAGTCTAAACCAGGACTAAAACGGGTCTAAACCAAGACTAAACCAGGTCTAAATCAGGACTAAATCAGGACTAAAACAGGTCTAAACCAAGGCTAAAACAGGTCTAAACCAGGACTAAAACAGGTCTAAACCAGGACTAAACCAGGTCTAAATTAGGACTAAAACAAGTCTAAACCAGGACTAAAACGGGTCTAAACCAAGACTAAACCAGGTCTAAATCAGGACTAAAACAGGTCTAAACCAAGGCTAAAAGAGGTCTAAACCAGGACTAAATCAGGACTAAAACTGGACTAAAACAGGTCTAAACCAGGACTAAATCAGGACTAAAACTGGACTAAACCAGGAGTGTCAGGATGGACCCGGAGGTGTGTAAACTGTCGGGTGGTCATGACTGAGACCGGAACTGAGACCAGGACCAGACCGTGACCACACCAAGACCGAGAGCGGGACTGAGACCGAGACTGAGACCGGGACTGAGACCAGGACCAGACCGTGACCACACCAAGACCGAGAGCGAGAGCGGGACTGAGACCGAGACTGAGACCGGGACTGAGACCAGGACCAGACCGTGACCACACCAAGACCGAGAGCGGGACTGAGACCGGGACCAGACCAGGACTGAGAGCGGGACTGAGACCGAGACTGAAACCGGGACTGAGACCAGGACCAAGACCGAGACCAGACGGGGACTCAAACCAGGACTGAGACCGGGACCAGACCGTGACTGAGACCGGAACTGAGACCAGGTCCAGACGGTGACCAGACCGGGACTGAGACCAGGTCCAGACGGTGACCAGACCGGGACTGAGACTGGGACCAGACTGGGACTGAGACCGGGACTGAGACGGAAACTGAGACCGGTTTAGTCCTGGTTTATTCCTGGTTCAGTTTTTTTCCATTAGTCATTTCAACACAAAATCGAAAACTGAAAAAAAAAAAAAATCATTATCTACTTTTTCATTTTAGTTTTGGAGACAAATAATGAAGAAAACAGTTGCTTTTTCATTTTCTTACTTTTGATTTTACATTGAAAAACGAATGAACGAACGACACACAGATTGTTTCAGCTGAAAAAGAATCCAGCTTCAAACTCTACCCGCCCACAAAGCAACGATTTGAGCTCGAGTAAAATCAACACACATGTAATTATAACGTGTTAGAGAAAGCTGACAGGATGACAAGCAAAAGAAGACGTAGTGTGTTTCCAAACCGGAGTGTGTGGTTAGTGCGGGTTAAAAAAAGGAGAAGCGGGAGCCATTTTGGGGCATGCACATTCCTCGGGTCATAATGATAATCCTGTGCGCTGTGCACTATAAAGACACGGTGATGGTGACGGTGATGGCTTCAGACCGGCACTGGGAGTTTGCCGGGACATTCCCCGAGTCTGGAAAAGCTCCAAACGTAACAGCGTGAGACAATTAGACCAAAATAGGCCTCGCGACATATGGTCCTACAGTAAATCTGGGTATTATCAGGAAGTGACACGCTGACAGAGAAACGCACGGACGCCAAAACGTCAAGAATGCAGCTGAAATTATACAAAATTGTTGAATGATATGAGGAAAATTATTTGATATTTGGTTCTATATTCGGGTCTGGTCAAGTGGTAACGGAGGGAAACAGGGGCAGATTTTTGACATTCAAATGTCTCTTATTCAGAAACTAGAGGGACTATTGAAATAAGTAAAGTATCAGAATGTAGGAAAGAGTTACACTCCAACAGGGTCAAGTTAAACCTGTGATATTCTTTCAAGTTGTTGACAAAAAATTTAAAAACTCATGTCGGTAACGGAGGGAATGAAATATGCAGCACTTTTTGGACAATAAATCCAAACAGTGATAACTCTTGGTTCTCACTTACATATCCTTAACAAACTGGTTTGAATATTTGCTTCATATAGTTTTCTACCATATGGTACAAGATTAGGTTGAAAAACCTCTTACTTTTTGACTCATGAGATTTTTTTATTAAGAAAGGTCATGGTAACGGAGGGAAAAGTAACAGAGGGAAAATTTTGCAAACAAGTAGAAGGTGCAGGATTTTACATAATTTGTCGCTTTTTTCTTCTGAATACTTTAATATTACTTCAAAATGAAAGGTAATTATTTCTATAAAATATGTCAGTCCTTCCAAGCAAATTTTTATCATTTTAAATACATTTTTTTTTTTTAAATCATGTACCTTCATCAACAGTTCAAAGATGGAATAACACAAGATATGATGAAATACATCCATTTATTTACATGATTTTCAGGTCTTTGAAATTTGGGAAATAATTTTTGTTCCATGTTTCATACATGGTCTGTTTAAAACGTATGTAAACTTTAGAACCAAAAATGGTACAGAAAAAAGGTCAACAGTTTCATAAACTAGAGTACATATGTATCTGTTCAATACATTTTTATATCAGATGCATTAACTTGAATTTTTGGCCTTGATGTTTACTTCTGCTTTGTTATTTTCCTCCTTCATGTAACGAACCGATGATTAATTTATTCCGTATGGAGCTCTACAGCGCAGAGTCCTGCACGGGTCCATTTCTGGAGACTTGCACCTGCGCAGTACAGGACCGCACCTGCCCTTTAACCCGAGATTATATCAAACTTTTGTGCTGCAGACGCCACGGACTGAACCAAGACTAAACCTGCTTCTGTGTTCTTTCGCTTAAGTCCAAGATTAGTCCTGGTTTAGACCTGGTTTAGACCATTTTCAGTCCTTTTCTGGTCCCGGTCTGGTGGTCTGGTCCGGCTCAGTCCTGTCTCTCCGGTCCTGGTCCCTGGTCTCAGTCCTGGTCTGGTCCCAGCCTCAGTCCTGGTCTCAATCACGGTCTGGTCCCGGTCTCAGTCCTGGTCTGGTCCCGGTCTCAGTCCTGGTCTGGTCCCAGCCTCAGTCCTGGTCTCAATCACGGTCTGGTCCCGGTCTCAGTCCTGGTCCTGTTCCCGGTCTGGTCCCAGTCTCAGTCCCGGTCTGGTCTCGGCCTCAGTCCTGGTCTCAATCATGGTCTGGTCCTGGTCTGGTCCCGCCCTCAGTCCCGGTCCTGGTCTGGTCCCGGGATCAGTCCTGTCCTCAGTCCTGGCCCTGTTCCTGGTCTCAATTCTGGTCTCAGTTCTGGTCTGGTCCCGGTCTGGTCCTGGTCTCAGTCCCGGTCTGGCCCCGGACCTGTTTTAGTCCTGGTTCAGTCCATACGATGCGCAAAAGTCCGGCATCTCACGGAAACGGGAAATGTCCATTATCCGTTTTTTTCCCAATTTTTTAATTAAACACAAAACCGAAAACTGGTTTTGGAGACAAATAATGAAGAAAATAGATGTTTTTTTCATTTTCTTATTTTTGGTTTTATTTTGAAAAACGAACAAACGAACGATACACGGATTTATTTTCAGCATTAGTCTTATATCACGTGCGATATTCCTCTGAAACATTAAACAAATCGCACTTCCAAACGCGGAATCTTCACCTCACCTCACTCCTTAAGGGGATTTAACGTTTCTTTATTTTATACAAAGCCGAGGAACTAATACGACTTTTATGATCTGGAACTGTTTACGGGAGAATCACCGGAATTTTATTATGCGGGAAAACGAAGCCAGAGAAAACACATCGCCAGCATGCAACAGCCAAAAGTCCACAATCAGACGAGACACACGGAGAGGAAGAGGAGAGGAGGAAGAAGAGGAGATCTACTTGCCTGCAGTTTGAACGCTTTGGGAGAGTCGGGCTGTTTGTTATGGATAAACAGATGCAAGGGTTAGAAGATGGGCACAGCTCTGTCGGCCGTAAGCTAAAGGAGAAAATAAAGCGCGACTGCGATGGAGCGAGATGTGCAGAAGAGTCGGGCGCAGGTGGAACAAAACCGGATTAAAAAAATGGAAATAATGTCCAAAAAGCACAGCGTGAGCGTGAAGAATGTGGCCAGGACGACTGTCAGAGGGGAATAAATAATTTGTTGGATCGGGCATCGGTTCCGTGATATCGGTTCAGGCGATATCCGGGTTGGGCCTTTAATTTGATGTAACAAAACCAATTTAACATAATAAGATCCACAAATACTGACACTGGTACTGAAAAATTGTCTGTAATTTGACGTAATAAGATGAATTTGACGTAATTTAATGTAAGAAGAACTTAAGATGCACCGATACCGATACTGAAATTGAAAAATTGGCTCGATTGGGCATCAAAATTTGATGTAATTAAGACGAATTTGATGTAATTTGACGTAATAAGAACTAGAAATGCTCTGATACCGATACTGGTACTGAATAATTTGCTGGATCAGGCATTGGTTCCATGATATTGTTCAGTTGATATCCTGGTTGGTTCTGTAATTTGATGTAATATGAACTAAGAATGCACCGATACCAATACTTATACTGAAAAATTGACATGACCGGGCATCGGTTCCATGATTTTGGTTCAGTTGATATCAAAGTTTGGTCTGTAATTCGACATAAGACGAATTTGATTTAATTTGATGTAATAAGAACTAAGGATGCATCAATACCGATACTGGAACTGAAAAATTTGCTGGTCGGGCATCGCTTCCATGATATCGGTTCAGTCGATATCAAAGTTGGGTCTGTAATTTGACATAATCAGACGAATTTGATTTAATTTGATGTAATAAGTGCTAGGAATGAACCGATACTGATACCGGTACTGAAAAATTTGATGGATCAGGTTCTATGTTATCGGTTCATCCCATATCCTAGTTAAGTTTTAAATTTCATGTAATAAGACAAATTTGATGTAATTTGATGTAATAAGGACTAAAAATACCGATACTGGTATACTGAAAACTTTGGTTCAGTTGATGTCCTTGTTGAGTCTGTAATTTGATGAAATAAGACGAGTTTGATGTAATTTGATGTAATAAGAACTAAAGATGCACCGATACTGATACTGGTCCTGAATAATTTGCTGGATCAGGTATCGGTTCCATGATATCGGTTCAGTTGATACCAAAGTTGGGTCTGTAATTTAACAAAATAAGATTAATTTGATGCAATTTTTAGTAATAAGAACTAAGGATGCTCCGAAACTGATACTTATACTGAAAAATTTGCTGGATCAGTTCAGTTGATATCGTGGTTGAGCCTTTAATTTGATGTAATAATACAAATTTGATGTAATTTGATGTAATAAGTGCTAGGAATGAACCGATACCAATACTGGTACTGAAAAATTGGCTCGTTCAGGCATCGGTTCCATGATATTGGTTCAGTTGATATCAAAATTAGGTCTTTAATTTGAAGTAATTTGATGAATTTTATGTAATAAGAACTAAAAATGCACCGATACCAATATTGGTACTGAAAAATTTGCTCGATTGGGCATCGGTTCCTTGATATCGGTTTAGTCGATATCAAAATTGGGTCATAATAAGATGAATTTGATGCAATTTTAAGTAAAAAGGACTAAGGATGCACCAATACCGATACTGGAACTGAAAAATTGGTTGGATCACGTATCGGTTACATTATATCGGTTCAGTCAATATCGTGGTTGGATCTTTAATTTGATGTCATTTGATGAATTTGATGTAATTTTAAGTAATAAGGACTAAGGATGCACCGATACCGATACTGGTACTAAAAAACTGGCTGGATTGGGCATCATAATTTGATGTAATAAGACCAATTTGATGTCATTTGATGCAATAGCAACTAAGGATACAACAATACCGATACTGGTACTGAAAAAACAGCTAGATTGGGTATCGGTTCCACGATATTAGTTAAACTGATATCCTGGTCAGGCCTTTAATTTGACATGACAAGACGAATTTGATCTAATTTGATGTAATAAGAACTAAGAATGCACCAATACCAATACTTATACAGAAAAATTTGCTGGATCGGGCATCGGTTCCATGATATCGGTTCAGTCGATATCAAAGTTGGATCTTTAATTTGACATAACAAGACGAATTTGATGTAATTTGATGAAATAAGAACTAAAAATGCACTGATACCGATACTGTTACTGAAAAATTGGCTGGATCTGGCATCGGTTCCATGATATCGGTTCAGTCGATATCAAAGTTGGGTCTTTAATTTGACATAACAAGACGAATTTGATGTAATTTGATGAAATAAGAACTAAAAATGCACTGATACCGATACTGTTACTGAAAAATTGGCTGGATCTGGCATCGGTTTCTTGATATGCCCACACTCTTTTCCTATTTGCGACAGCCTATGATGAAAACTGAGTGGTGAATAAGTAGCAGTAGTGAAATCTGGACTCTCACAGGGATGTTGTGGTCCTTGCGTCCTTTGTGCGAGGAGGCCACGTAGGCGAGATACTGGATCACTTTCTTGGTGTTTTCCGTTTTACCAGCTCCAGATTCTCCCCTGGAACAGAGCAGAGACAGAGACTCTTCAGACAGAGTTTGAAGACCATTATAATAAGTCATTGTTGTCATTATTCCTTCACTACAGACTAAAAAAAATGTTCAAATAAAGCTTTATGTGTATTCTTAAAGGTCCCATATTACACAAAATTGAGTGTGTATACATGTACATCAATAACCCGGTTATGATCGGGTTTTTTGAGTATCCCGGTTTCTTGATGGTGCATGTAAACGCAGTAACCCGGTTTCAGTAACCCGGTTATGGCAGTATCCCGGTTATTAGAAACCGGGTTACTGTAGCTGGTTTATTCCGATAGTAACCGGGTTACTTGTGGCATGTAAACGCAGTACCCCGGTTACTGCAACATAAAGTTGAATGCGCATGCGTCCAAAAGACACTTTCCAGTCCTTTCACCACAACAGTAGTGACATAAATAAATTGACCAACATAAATAAAGTGACCAAACGAGTGAAATGACTGTAAAATAAAGAGCTGCGCTAAACCTGCACACGTACAATCTGCACTCGTACGACCTGCACTCGTGTGACGCTGAAAAGCTAAAACATGAACTATCTCCTATACTCTATACGCACGGAACACACTTACCATCAATTAGCGCCTCTTTCTGTCACAGAAATAACACACATAATCCACAGAGTCGTGTCATTTAGTCCAAAAGAAACTGATCACATCAGCGGCACAAGGAGCGAGTTGTTTTTATCGCCGCTAACAGTTTATGCTAATTAGCCAAACGGTCTTAAGTTTCGTTTCTGTAAAACGTAAACAAATGTGATCACAGCTGAATTATCTGATCAAACGGGCTGATGTGTCTATAGTGTTTATGGTTTATATGTTGTAAAGTTGAGTTTATTTATGCAGAAGATTTTAATGAAGAATCTGTTGGTTTGATGTGTGCAGTGGATTGTGGGAGATCTCGTAGCTCCTTAGCTTCTTATGCTAAAGGAGCTCACGGTTTGTATTTTTCCTGGTTTATGAAATTTATTTAAGTTAATTTTTGCGCCTGTGCATTTGTAAGATTATGTCAAGAAACCGGGATACTCCATTTGATCATGTACACACGGATATGAGTGTCCCGGTTTCTCAGTGCGCATGTAAACGCAGTAACACGAATACTGACAGAACCGGGATATGGCTAATAACCGGGTTATTGATGTGCATGTATACGCACTCACTGACTCTTCTGAGCTTTAAGCCATGTTATAATGCTCTTACTTTCTCAAAAACAGACCTGGAGTTGTGTTTTGTTTCATTCAAACATGATTGAGTAACCTTTTATTATCAATTTGTACATCTCCAAAGCTCTAAATGCTCTGTTCCACCTCGTGATGTCATGAAGAGGTAGTTTTTAGGTGAAAAAAATCACCACCAATTATCTTTTGTTCAGTAGAGTTCGGCAATTCCACAGCTGAACATCGTCCCAATGATTTTAGTGAAGGTGTACGGAGTTTAAAAACACGGTGGAGCACTTTCTGAACCATCACATGACATCACAGGGTGTTTTTCGTTCGAGAAAAGAACTCAGAAATGCAGGGTTTGTGTGTTAAACAAGCGTGAATGAAACGAAACACAAGTCCGGGTCTGTTTGTGATGAGGAAACAACATCATAACATAATGTCGATCACAAAATAGTGTAGAATAGGAGATTTAAGACCAAAAATGAAACAGTTACAGTGCAAATATTGGCGAACCCATATTTCATCTCGCTATCGATCTAATATACATTCTGTTTTTGACGAAAGAATGAGCGTGACAAGAAAAGTGGACAAGGTAACCACATGTTTGTTGACAGTTTTGTTTCGAATGAGTGTACGACCACATGAGCTAATCTCAAGGATCAAAAACTCTAAACCAGATGATTTTGTGGTGCTCTCTGTCAAACTAAAGCAGAAGCCAAAGTACGCGGAGGTGACCACTGCTTTCACTGTGCAATGTCCCACACTTTGGCATTACATTTATCTATGTGTAGGTATTTTTCTTGATGAGAAAATGCCTCAGAAAGCTGGGTCGTCTCTCTCCAGATATGAACTGCAACTTGGTGGAGATAGATGGGTTTAATGCCATACTGAGGAACATTGACCAGACTGACAAAGCATTAACATCTCCATGGAGACAAGCACAGGGTCCCCACTCTTTTTCACTGACAAAATTTCTAAACTTTTTCCATGACTTTTTCATGACCTAAAGTGACTTTTCCATGACTATCCTAAATTCTACACATGTGTAGAACTGATCAGACTTTCAGGGCTGAATATGAAACCATTTCCACTGGTTTTATAGTTTTGTAATTAAAGAAACAAGTTCGCTGACTTTCGCTCTAGAAAACTGCTGTGCTCAAAGGGAGCTGACGCTACTGAATCCTATGTGTATCACTGATTAAGAAAATATAATTGGAGAACAAAATACAGAGCAGTGGGCGTGTAAAGGTGGTGGTGTTGAGAACAAAAGTTGATTGGCAAAATGGCATCTTGAAAATAAGCAATTACATACATTTAATTTCAAAATACCCAAAGCGCTTTACAGTTCATTGTTCATTCACTCCACACTTGGTGGTGGTGAGCTGCTACTGTAGCCACAGCTGCCCTGAGGCAGACTGACAGAAGCGAGGCTGCCAATCTGAGCCATCGGTCCTTCTGACCAGCACCATCACACACACACACACACACACACACACACACACACACACACACACACTCCACTTTCATACTAGGCAATGTGGGTGAAGTGTCTTGCCTAAGGACACAATGACAGTTTTTTTTGCCACTGGCGCCCCCCTGTGGCTTCTGATTTTCCCAGACGCAGAAATACACGACTAAAATAACATTACCTCCGAGTGTAAAAATATAATTGCTTGACTATGAAATCATAACTGAAAATCGCAAGAAGTAGTTATGAATTGATTCTTCTTTAGCAAATATATGATAAACAGGAGGGAAATGTCAGAATAATTTTATTATCCCATATTTGCTAAATACTTGTGTGATATTCTAGGCCTATGAGTTAACCATTTATGTACTTATGTTCTTTGATTTATAATGTACCAATCACTTGTCACTTGTTGAATAACCTCTGTGTGTTTGACAACTGTGTGCAGTGACCTATCGCTCTAGTGAACCTCGAGATGATTCCTCACATGAAGCCAACTCCCACTGTCACACATGCAAGAGTTATGATGGTGTCTGACCAAACCTAAGGCACCTCCTGTTTGTACTATGCATAGCTGCACCAGTTTCTTATTATGTCTTGGCTGTTTCCCCTTCCCTTGAGAATTATCGTTCTGTAACTAGGGCCTCCTAATGAAATAAAAAGAGGAGAACGGCCTTGAGTCATCAGAACGTGTGGAGACTGTTGGTTTTGATGCCCACTCTCTGCCCGTTCTCCTCGCGAGTAAAACTGAATTAATCTCTTGTCTTTCTTCTTGTTTACAATGTTTAGATAAACCTAACAGTCTCCCATCCGAGTCCTGACCAGGCCCGGCCCTGCTTAGTTTCTGAGATCTGACGGGATCAGGCTTTGACAAGCTGGTATGACCACGGGTACGGCCATTAAAGATGATTCAAACATGCACAAATCACGCCAAATACAACTTCAGAGCGTAAATGAGACGGAACTAAAATAACAAGTTCTGAAATGTCTCTTTGGCACAATAGTTCTGCAAGTTTTTTTAAGTAAATTTCTGATAAGCTGCACTATTTACATGATCTGCCTTCATTCGTTGACCCCCTCTTCTCCTGCACAGTTTAGAGGTCTGCTGGGATTTGCTGAGGCGTCTCTCCCGTGTCTCAAAGTCGTGTTTTTGGGGCACTTATCTAACGATGGCCGTGTCCGCTCCCATACGCGGGGCTGAAAAGAGGCGAGCAACAGTGCAGCCCGTCCACATGCCAGTGGCTTTAACCTAGCTGCTCATTACCACGACATTACCCAGAGCATTTTTGGAACCAGCAGCGAAACGAAGAGGGCGAGGCAACCGACTATATCTGGCCACTCACAAAGCATTCTACTGTAGATCTATTTACGCTTTAGAATAAACGTTTTTATATTACGATTTTTTATTTAAATGTGTCGAAATTCAGTAAATTCTCAACGGGCTGGTGAAATTAAAGGCGAAGATTCTGTCCACATATTTGAGCTAAATGTCTTGCCCCAGTACAGACATCCTAGTGTTGCAAGAAGCAGTTCTTTAGGTCAAATGATTAAGTCCGATAATCAGGAAGTGTACGTTAACATGATAGTTGTTACATGCTTTACCATGGCAGCGAAACTCCGCTTCTGAAAGTTGTGCAAAGCGTTTTAAAACTAAAAAATAATGCATCTAAACAAGCAAAACATGTCACTATTTGAGTATCTTTAAGACGTTAAGACTTGGATTAGAAGTGTGGCGCCCTCTGCTGGCAAACGGTGGGAGTGAAGCTTGTGGGAATGGCAAATTAGCAGCACGGTCAGATGTGGATTGAGAATGCAGTTTCTATTTTTCTATTCAAGTCATGATGATGAATTTAAAGACGGGGTATTTTGCTTCACACACTTTTTCAGCCTGTGAGCCACTTATAAAATGTCAACCAAGTCAAAATGATCGACCTACTACAAAGCCAAGTAAACTGTACTACACTTAAACACTCTGCACCACTTTTATGGACCCTCACTCACACTTTGAGAGCCCCTTCTTTAAGATACATTCCACTGGCACTTTACACAAAATTGTGAAAAAAAGTAAAGAAAGTGGGTAGGATTTTTAAACCTGGAGTTACATTCTCTTCTTGGTTTTGCACTGGGATTTAACAGCCTCTGCTCATTTACTAAACCAAGCACACGTCGTGACAAATACAGACGCATTTGTGCACTTTTATTAGACAAACTTCAGCCCACATGTCACAGTAGGTCTGTTCTGCGTTGTAGTACTGCTCTGTGCCAACACTGTAACATAAATTTAGTTTAGTTTTTGCTTCACATTTCGTCTTGCTTTTCTAATCAGCGTGTATTGA